AAAATGTACATATTGACCTTTGAACAAAACAAGAATGTACATTGACCAAATAATATTCTTGTAAGTAGAAACGTATTGTTAGATGATCATATTACATTTTAAGATTATTAAAAAATTGAAATTTAAAATTTATTGATAAGATGTAATTGCCCTCGATTGGTCTAGTACTCTTTTATTATTGGGTTCATCCCTTAGGTAAACCTTTAGGTTAATCAACCAATAGAATGGTGTTATTTCATATTTGATATATTTTTAAAAAGAAAACAAAATCTTTTTAATTTATATTATGTTTTTAAACTAAAAATAGAAAAATAAATAAAATAATAATACTTACCAAAAAGGAAAAAATCTTTAAAAAACTAATTTATTGTTTAACATTATATTATGTTTTTAAAATAAAAAGATAAAATAAAAACAGTAATAATTGCAAAAAATAAAATAAATTTTTTTAATATATCTTTAAAATGAAAACAAAATATTGTTACATTATATTATGTTTTAAAAATTAAAAGATAAAAATAAATAAAAAAAGTATAATTAGTTAGTATTAATTTTTTGATTTCATGTTTAAGAATTTTCTAAAAGATTTATGATTTATCCAAGGGTTTAGGGTATATGATTAGGATTTTAGAGTTTAGTGTTTTAGTATTAAAAAAAATTATTTTAAAATCATAATATAATTTAACAAGTTTTTTTTTAAATATATCAAATCTGAAATAACACCATCATATTAGTCACTGAACTTAGAGGTTCCTCCTAAAAGGTGAACCCAAAAATAACTCGCTCTTAAAACACAACACAGTTCTTTTTCGAACGTTTATAAACCTAAATAGATAAAACCCATTTCAAGTAATGACAACGAGCTTAACGCAGGTACCATATATGCCATATTTAGTGTGTGCGTCACTGATGAGACGATGATTGCGAAATTGACAGTAGTGAAGGAGACAAGCTTTTGATTAATTTATCGCTTTATTATATTTAGAGTGTGATTTGGGAATATCACATGTTCATCATTGCATTCTTTTCCGTTTAAAGTTATAATTACCTAAAGACTTTCACTTTCTTTTTTGTTCATGTCTTTAATATGCGTAAAAGGTGAAATGATATATGCTATTGGAATGCTTTTGCCCAACATCTTACTTTCTCCACTGTTAGAGGCATAACACGACTGTTATGGATTCCCAAACACATTCATTGGATCCAATAAGAATAGTAATAACGATAATAATAACAATTCATATTTGGATAAAATCGTAAAACTCTCAATTTGCAAAATCTATCAAACATCAACAATTATCTCATTTAAAAGTTTCACAAAGCCATTAGGATTAACACCATTTATATAGTCTAAAACTACAAAAGAAACAAAGGAAACCTTTAGAAATCGGAGGATTCACTATAATGTATTCAAACATAAATGAATCAAATTGGATTGGAAATTTCGTAGATATTTATTAATTCGCTTCGAAACCGAATTTGACTCCGGAACAGGAACTCTCTTTTTTTTTTGTTGAATCAAGTGACTCTTAAATATATACAAAGCAATTTCATAGGCATATTCTTTTGGTAGACTTTACGCGTGTTGAGGCCACTCTGATTAAGAAACATATAAAGATAGTGGATGGGGTAGTGAGCTCACTATCACATTATTTCTTCATGCATATCGATCTTGTCGTGTAATTATTGTATCATTGATCTATTCTCTCATGATGTTAAGAATTGAATTGAATGTCCATTAGAAAATAAAAATAATTCGGGAGATACATGTCTCTCTTTTTCTTCTTCTTTGGTTTTAGCGGTGACATAATTATCTATTTGATAGCAACCAAATTAAAAAGATGTTGCTGTTAAAGTAATTAAGATACTTCCGTCTCCAACCGTTAGTTTTTTTTTCTTTTTTGATAGCCGTGAGTTATATACTTATAGGAGGACACTTTTATATGTCTGGTGATACTTAGCACACTTACCTAATCTTTTTGTATTTTATCATTTTCGGTGAAAGATTCTGGTTATTGTGGATATATTACAAAGGATATATCTGCTACCGAACGAATCGCTCGACTTTGGAGAATACTATAAATTAAATTTATTCAAATGTAAATGTTACAAACTACAACGAGCTGAGTCGTCTTTTAGCGCTATACACACAAACTAGTCCAAGTATTATTTGAAACCACATTAATAACATATCTATTATATTAAACAAAAGTTATAACTCATGAAATTTCATGTGTGATTTTTTCATTTGGATAATCCTTAGAAAGTTTATTAAATTTTACATAACATCATTGTAATATCTTTTCATATCTTTAATTTTATTTGAAATACAAAAATATTTTTATGAAAGTTATAGCAATATCTTTGTAAGATCTTTTAGATTTTATAAAAAAATTATTTTCGAAATTAGTTAATTAAAATTTTAATTATCAGAAAATATAATTAAAAATATTCATTTTTGATTTATAAAAAAATTATGTAAATTAATTTTAAAAATATCCTAAAATTTTGCTTCTCTTATATGCATGCAACTTAATTTAATTTTCACATATATTTCAAATTAAGAAATAAAACAACAATTACTGTTACATAATAATGTTTTTTAAATAGTTACAAAAATACAGTTTATAAATTTTAGTAATAATATTACAAGCCACACAAACATTATTATAAAGTTAGATAATATATAACATCAAATTATATTTATATATTGATAACTTTTATTCTATAATTCAAAACATTTTAATATTCCAGAAAACCTGCACGGTTGTGCGGGTCAAGATCTAATTTTTATTAAAACATACATTGTGATCTCTATCTTTAGAATAGTGTAGAAAAAGAAAGAAAAAAGTACAAGCAAACAAAAGAAAATGAAGAAAATGATTAAACAGTAATTTACTGCAAAATAAAATACTCAGTTTTTATTTACTCATTATTCCATTTCATTATATTTTGTAATAAATTATAGAGTGAGAATGGGGATATTCTAACATATTTTCTGATATACAATAAAAAAATGAAAAAGAAAGAAATATAAAGTTGCCTAAGAAAGCAAGGAAACCCACCAAATAAAACCATTTGTAAGCAATTGAAATTTAATTAATTCCATAATAATATAATAGGTAATTCAAATTTAAAAGAATACAATTTGAAACATATTTGATATTTAAAAGGATATTATAAGTTGTTTCTTGTTAAAGTGGTTTGTGTGTGCGTCAAGCAAACGAAGACATGGCTAATATCAGATTTTGACTTTTAACTTTGGTTCGGAGTTCTGACAAGTTATATATTTATGCCAACATCTGCTTTCGTAATGAGAAGTAAACATTCTTGCCACACTCTTCGTAGCTCCTTCTAGACTTTACACTTGCGAATTTCTTTGACTTTGCGGAGTTCTTGTCGAAGTTTTCAACAGCCCATAATCCTATAAACAAAGATCAAAGCTAGAAAACTTATCTCCTCTATCTTTCACACTATTCACCCAAAACATATATGGCCATGATATGATTACAGGAATAGGAGTTTGACAGAAAATAATTACATGAATAGGAAACCTTTTATTAGAATTTATATTAGAAGCTAAAAGTACCAATGTGAAGAGCCCAAAACTATTCAGATAGAGGAATCAAATGAGTTAGTATAAGCCATTGTTCGAAAACGCGGTTAACTCGGCCGGTTAGTCGCCGGAAATTCGCTAGGCGGAGGAGGACCGCCGCGATTTGGGGTTATCCGGCTAACTAATCGGAGAAAATAAGAAAACATCGTTTTCTTAGATTTTGTGTGTTAAAACGATGTTTGTGTCTTACATTTGTTATATTTTGATCAAAATATCTAAGATTTGAGAGATGCAACGATGAAATCAAAAAAAGAAAGGTTATGGCGGCTGTAACTCCTGCCAAAAAAATCGCAGGTATATGTTGAAGACAAGGGTATTTATGTCATTTCCTAGTTTATTAACCTAAAAGCTGAAAATTTTGCCAAAATACAGACTTGGGGCCTCGAACCGTGGCCCATATTATTGTGCGGAGTGGCAATTTACCACTAGGCTACATCATATCTTTTGTAAGAGTGTACATATTTAATATATAAACCTAAAGTTGATATAAAAGTCCTAAAATTACTCCCCGGTTAATCTCCGTGTAATCTCCGATTTATCAATTCGGCGCTAGGCGCTACCTATCCGCACGCGTAGCGCCTAGCGAGTTTCCGAACAATGAGCACCTTAACATTTTTGTCATCACTCTTTTGTAGCTTGACACAAAATCTGTTGGTTTGTGGTAGAGTGTCTTTGTAGGCGCGCCCGATGGAAAGGTTTGTGCAACCATTAGTGGAATAATCCAACATCCATTGGACCATTGATTAACCATTAGTTAAAAATTAAGAGATAAATTTTCATATTCCGCTAAAAATCCCATATTAAGAACTCTCCAATGAACATGCTCTTAATATCCCAGAAGATTTCATAAGAAAATCCAAACTCTTTATTGATTAATTCATCATAACGAAACTATTTTTTTGCAAGTTGAAAAATCTAACAAAAAGGCTAACAATCTATTCCTAAATAGCTCAAAATGGCCCAAATATTCTCTTCGCCCTACGACTTTTAATCTCTGTTGGGCCGGGTCTAAATATATGAAAAGCCCATATTCTCAGGCGTCGTTTCTCCCTAAAACCTCTTTACCAGTCGCCGCCGAACTCCGCCGTCTGTTGTAAAAGCCGAGAGAGAGAGAGAGAGAGATAGGAAGAGAAAAAAAAATCTCGTTCTCCTTCGCTTCTTATCTCTTTTCCCCTACACGGGCGGAGCATTACAAGAGTCTCTCTCGCTTTCAAAGGCATAAACTCTAAAACCCTACTCTGTTTTTCATCACATAGTTGAAAGATATTCTTATCTTTCATATTCTAACTGTCTCAATATATTGTATTTGCAAATGGGCTTCCCAAAGTTTTGATTTTTTATTTATTTCTTTTTCTGAAATCGTGTTTAGTAGTCATAGCAAGTAATGGAGGGGAGATTGGCTAATATGTGGAGGTTGACTGTGAATGAAAGTAAGTTCGTGGAAACTGCGTTGCAATCTGAGCTCAGAGTCGATGGTCGTGGTCTTTATGACTACCGCAAGCTTACTATTAAGTTTGGAAAGTAAGTGATTCAACTTGTTCTCTTGTCTTCTGCTTATGGATACTGTTTCTGCATCTTGGAACCTCCTAAGGTTCTGTTGCTTCTAGCTAAGAAAAGCTTCAATCTTTATGTTTCTGCATTAGAATGTATGTGGTTTGCTTGTGTACAGAACAGTCTCGTTAGTCTCCTGCTGCTTCTTCCTTTGTATTTTTTGATGGGATTTTTTTTTTTGCACTAGTTGTAAGTAACTAAAGAGCTCTTTTCATCTGGTGTGGATTAACAGAGAATATGGTAGCTCAGAAGTTCAGCTTGGCCAGACTCATGTGATGGGCTTTGTGACTGCTCAGCTAGTACAACCTTACAAAGACAGACCTAATGAAGGTTCTCTCTCCATCTTCACTGAGTTCTCTCCTATGGCTGATCCATCGTTTGAGCCTGGTCGTCCTGGCGAATCTGCTGTGGAGCTAGGACGTATTATAGACCGTGGTCTAAGGTAACTCTCTATATGCAATATTCTGCATTGAAGATAGCAAAAAAAAAAAAATGGTAAACTGGTCACTGTGTTGGTTGCAGAGAAAGCCGTGCGGTAGATACGGAGTCACTCTGTGTTCTAGCTGGAAAGAAGGTCTGGTCTGTTCGTATTGATCTTCACATTTTGGACAATGGAGGGTAGGTCTTTTGTTGGTTATAAGTACTTCTCCTCTCCTTCATGTTCATTGAAGGTTCTTGTTCTTAAGATGATGTATCTCTTGTATAGGAACTTGGTTGATGCTGCAAATATTGCTGCTCTAGCTGCGCTCATGACGTTTAGGAGACCAGACTGCACTGTAGGAGGGGAGAACGGTCAAGAAGTTCTCATACATTCACTAGAGGTTAGTCATATTTAGAGAGACTTGTAAGAGTATGTTAAAAGTAGAATAGGAAGTTTTCTCAACTTCAATCGTTTACTTTCTTTTTGCAGGAGAGGGAGCCACTTCCACTGATAATACATCATCTCCCTATAGCCTTTACCTTTGGATTTTTCAACAAAGGCAACATCGTGGTATAAAGAAACTGATTTCTTTGTTACCTTCTCTTTTTTTTTATGAGATAAGAAACGGTTATTGTGTTGTTATGTAGGTGATGGACCCAACTTATGTTGAAGAAGAGGTTATGTGTGGGAGAATGACTGTGACAGTCAATGCCAATGGAGATATATGTGCAATCCAAAAACCAGGAGAAGAAGGCGTGAACCAGAGTGTAATCCTTCATTGCCTGCGTCTTGCTTCTTCAAGAGCTGCTGCTACAACAAAGATTATTAGAGAAGAGGTAAAAAGTTGCAGAGCGTTTTCCTTTAGCATACAAAAGATAATAGTTCATTCACATTTAGTTGTGCTTTGTTTTTTTTTTTTTTTTTTGGTGCAGGTTGAAGCATATAACCGTGAGAAGAGCTTACAGAAGGTGAAGCGGCATCCTACTTTGGCTAAACCTGAAGTTTCTGGACCTATTGTCGTTGTGAAGGAGGGACATAAGAAGGCTTCAGATGAGGAAAAAGCTGCAGAACTAAAAAGCAGTAAGGAACAAGAAGCTGGTGGTGCTGCCTCTTCTGCCACTTTCGAAGGAACTGAAACTTGTTCTGTTTCTTCTAATCTCGGAGAATCCGTGACCAAGTCACCGATCAAGAAAAAGACAAACGACTCTGGAGATGCGCAGAAAGAAGTAACCGGAGATGTAGAGATGAAAGATACAGCTGAGGTTACAAAACACAAGGATGGAGAGAAGACACTCAAAGATGCTGTCAAACCTAAGAAGAAGAAGAGGAAAAACAAAAGCAGTTGAAAGAAGGGAGAATAACTCCAAATACTCCTCTCACTCATAAAAAATTCTCAATTCTCCCACTAATAAAATATCTATTTTTTTTTATTTTTTTTTAAGGAAAAAAGTTTCTCACCTACACGAAGTTTACACTAATATGGTGGAAACCATCCAATGTATAAAAGTGTGTCAAGAACTACACGAAGTATATGTTAATACATGCCACATGTATGAAGTAAATGATATTATGGTGGCAACATCACAATTGGGGGTTAATTGTTCTTATGCTAAGTTAATAGGGTCAATCCGTAATTCATGAAACTTAATAACTTAATTGATTTTATTATTAAAGTTAATAAAATTAATAAACTTAATAAACATAATATTTTAAAAAACTTAATAAAATTAATAAACTTAATAAACTTAATATTTTTTGTTAAAATTAATAAACTTAATAAACTTAAAATTAAACTTAATAAATTTATTAAACTTAATAAAATTATTAAACTTCATAAACTTAATAAACTTAACAAACTTAATAACTTATAAACTTAATAAGTTATTAAACTTAATATACTTAACAAACTTAATAAACTTAATGATTTATTAAGTTTAATACATCTTATTAAGTTTAATATATCTTATTAAGTTTATAAAGTTTTTAAAAATTATTATGTTTAATAAGCTAGAATCCTAAAACTAATAAACAAAATAATTTAATAAATTTATTAAGTTTAATAATTTATTAATTTAATAATTTTAAATTTGATAAAATTAATAAACATAATAAACATAATATTTTTTTTAAAAAAACTTAAAAAAATTATTAAACTTAATAAATTATTAAACTTAATAAAATTATTAAACTTAATAAACTTAACAAACTTAATAACTTATAAACTTAATAAGTTATTAAATTTAATATACTTAGCAAACTTAATAAACATAATAATTTAATAAATTTATTAAGTTTAATAAGTTTAATAATTTATTAATTTATTAATTTTAAATTTGATAAAATTAATAAACATAATAAACATAATATTTTTTAAAAAAACTTAAAAATTATTAAACTTAATAAAATTATTAAACCTCATAAACTTAATAAACTTAACAAACTTAATAACTTATAAACTTAATAAGTTATTAAATTTAATATACTTAGAAAACTTAATAAACATAATAATTTAATAAATTTATTAAATTATTAAATTATTAAACTTATTAAACTTATTAAAATTTATTAAATTATTTTGTTTATTAGTTTTAGGATTCTAGCTTATTAAACATAATAATTTTAAAAAACTTTATAAACTTTATAAACTTAATAAGATTTATTAAACTTAATAAGATGTATTAAACTTAATAAATCAATAAGTTTATTAAGTTTGTTAAGTATATTAAGTTTAATAACTTATTAAGTTTATAAGTTATTAAGTTTGTTAAGTTTATTAAGTTTATGACGTTTAATAATTTTATTAAGTTTAATAAATTTATTAAGTTTAACAAAAAATATTAATTTTATTAATTTTATTAAGTTTTAAAAAATATTATGTTTATTAAGTTTATTAATTTTATTAACTTTAATAATTAAAATCAATTAAGTTTATTAAGTTTCATAAATTACGGATTGACCCCATTAACTTAGCTTAAGAACAATTAAATCCGATTGTGATGTTGCCACCATAATATCATTTACTTCGTACATGTGGCATGTATNTTTATTAAGTTTTAAAAAATATTATGTTTATTAAGTTTATTAATTTTATTAACTTTAATAATTAAAATCAATTAAGTTTATTAAGTTTCATAAATTACGGATTGACCCCATTAACTTAGCTTAAGAACAATTAAATCCGATTGTGATGTTGCCACCATAATATCATTTACTTCGTACATGTGGCATGTATTAACATATATTTCATGTAGTTCTTGACACATTTTTATACATTGGATGGTTTTCATCATATTAGTGTAAACTTCGTGTAGCTGAGAAACTTTTTTCCTTTTTTTAAATACGAAAACAAGACAAATACATATGAAACCCTAAGAAAATCAAGTAATTACTGATCCAACCACAGATATCCTATCCACCCAAACCCAATTGTGCACAACCCGATTCCTAAATCAAAGCACTGCGTTTTGACTTGATTTTCCAAAACACTCCGACTCTCCTTCTCCTCTCTCTCCCTCTCGACGAACTCATCTCCATCTCAGGTGATTCTGAAACCCTAGCCTCCGTCGCTTGCGTTCGTCCTCCATCGAATTCAAGAATCCATCAATCTCTCCCTCTTATTTCGGAGTTCTCGTGTCTTAACTCTCTCTTTGTCTTTGTTCGAAAATTAAACATAACCCTAGGGTTGAGAACCGCTTCGTTTCTGTTTCCTTCTCCGTCGAATCGAGTCTCCATCTCCGTTTCTTCTGGTAAGTGATTAGTTTCCCTTTGTTTGGTTGTTATTAGGTTGTTTTGTTAGTCGATTTGAAAAATAAATTTGGGGATAACTTGCGATTTTGTTTCAGAAACATATATAAAAATTGTTTGGATGCATATTGAAAATTGTTTGCATCCCGATTTGGGGATAACTTGCCACTTCTATTAGGGTTACTGGTTTGAACAGAAACATATATAAAAATTGTGGGTATTTTCTTATTGGATATGAAACCGAAATGTTGATTGACTCTTTGAATGTAAATTGAAAGAGAGTTGGTGATTTATTAAGTGAATGAATTGTTTGAAATTTATAATTATGGGTTGTGCCTAAATGTGTGTTGTTGTTTCTGGATGTTCAGAGGAACGAGCTAATGGCAGGTAAAGGTGGAAGAAAAACTAAAAAGAAAACTGAGAGATCTCCGAGAGCTCGAAAATCTGATACCCCTGTTGTTGAAGAGAATGTGCAAGAGCTATCAGACAGGGACACTAGTGATGATCTGCCTGAACACCCCTCTAAGGTATATTATTCTTTTGGTTTTAGTAATAAATTGTCACTGCTTGGTGTGTATTGGTTATGGTTAATTAAGTGTCAATGTTGTGTATCAGAAAACACATGGCCAAAAAAGGAGACGTCCATCTACTGGAGGTGGAGTCTCCAACAGAACTAGAGCTAGAAAAGCGGTGTCAGATGGAAATGAGCCGGCCAAAGAAGTGGCAGTCCAGCAAGAGAGTGCCCCAGTGAGAGATAAGACTGTAGTTTCGCTCTCACTTGATACTGAAAGTGAAGACATGTCTGTTGTGTCCTCCAAGGTAATTTTTGCATTCATTTTAATCATTTATTTTACTATTCTTATTAGTAAGAAATGACTAATACATATATATTTTGATTGCAGGAAAGGCAACCACCACAGCCTCTTGAATTGTACTTCAAGAGCACAGAGTACCTGAAGACTTGCAAGATTCAGTCGAAGTGCAAGGTTAAGGATACAGTCGATGTGATTAAGGGGTTAAAGGAGGAGGTCAGCTGGTTCACAAGCCATCCACAGTTTCGTCATTTCTTCCACATGCCTGATGAAGTATTCCTGAAGCTCCAAGGAATGTGGATGTTACTCATGCACACCATTAATATTGAAGGAGAAGATGCTGCATGGTTTGCGGTGAATGGTGTGCCCATCCGCTATTCTATGAGGGAGCATGCCCTCATCTCTGGCTTGGACTGCCATGAGTATCCGGGTAGACATTTGGAGCTCGGGGGTACTAAGTTTGTGGATTATTACTTCGGTAGTAATAAGAAGATCACCATAACAGATGTGGAGCAGAAGCTGCTGTCTATGGAGCAACCATGTACTGATAGATTGAAGATGGCTGTCTTGTTCTTCCTTGGTCGGATTATCAGAGGAGGGAAGGATTCCGGACCATTAGACCCATTCATCTTAAGGATAGTGGACGATTTGGATGTTTGTAGAAAATTTCCTTGGGGTCGTCTAACATTTGAAGATGCAATAAAGGAGATTAAGCATGTGATGGAGCGTCTGAAGGGTGAAGTGCGTTCTGCAACCAGCTTTAATGGATTCATAATACCGTTAGAGGTAAAAAANGAGGGAAGGATTCCGGACCATTAGACCCATTCATCTTAAGGATAGTGGACGATTTGGATGTTTGTAGAAAATTTCCTTGGGGTCGTCTAACATTTGAAGATGCAATAAAGGAGATTAAGCATGTGATGGAGCGTCTGAAGGGTGAAGTGCGTTCTGCAACCAGCTTTAATGGATTCATAATACCGTTAGAGGTAAAAAACATACAATTTAGTGAATTTTTTTGTTATTCATAACCGAAAATCTGACATTGTACACTTTATTTGTGTAGGTATTGGCTTTTGAGTGCATTCCTAAGCTGGAGAAAAAATTCCGAATCTGTTCACATGGCGCTAGTAAAGATTGTCCTAGGATGTGCAAGAGCCGGTTTACAAAGAGTAACATGAAGGGTTATCCTTTGGAAGATATATATGCTGCGTTTGGAGAGACAAGGGTATATCTTTATATCATTTAATAGAAAATAGTAGAGAATTTAAACTGATATTTCTGAATGTTTTTTTCAGACTATTAACAATGTGTTGGTTCCAACTGTGGATGAGGAAACTTTGCTGGCTCGTATCATTGATCCGGAGCCAGAGTATCACCGTGAGGGAAGCACAAGTGATAGGTGGAACTACTGGCTAAATGTGAAGCAGAAGAAGATTTGGTGGAAAGAATTATACAAAGACGAAAGACAAAGAAAAAGTGACAATTGTAGAAGGTTCATCTTCTAATTCTGGTTTGGAGTCGATTTTGAAAGGTTTGGAAGAGAGGATGGTGAAAGCCATGGAAGAAGGATTTTCTGCAATTAACTCAACAGTAGAGACAAACCTGGAGGCTATATACTGGACGATGGGTAAACTTGAGAAGAACCAGCGTCTTTTGAATAGAAGGGCTAAGAAAATAGAAGAAAGGCTGGCTTCTATTGAAAGCAAGGGAAATGAGGATGTGGAGTTTAGACAATGGAATGAGTTTGATTATAGTAGAGATCAAGGGAAGGATAACAGTGAGAAGGTTGAGGAAGATGAGGAAAACAATAAGAGAAAGAGCCGAAAGAGCAAGAAGAAAAAGAAGAAGAGCAAGAAGAAGGGTGCAGAAGAGGAAGAGCATGAAGAGCAGGAAGAGCAGGAAGAGCAAGACAGTGTGAAGGGTGACGAAGAGGAAGAGCAGGAAGAGCAAGACAGTGTGAAAGGTGACGAAGAGGACGAGCAGGAAGAGCTAGACAGTATTCGTGAGAAAGGGATAGTACA